GATCGACCAGAAGCGTCCAGAATTGGCCAACAGGAAGGGAGTAGTGTTCCACCAGGACAACGTTAGACCACACACTTCGTTGATGACTCGTAAGAAGCTACGTGAGCTTCGATGGGAGGTTTTATCGCATCCACCATATAGCCCGGATATAGCGCCAAGTGATTACTACCTGTTTCCCTTGTTGATGTAAAGTTGAACTCAAAAAGGCTTGTGAAAAGTGGATGTCCCAGGTCTTCGCAAATAAGGAGGGTGGCTTCTACGAGGGGAATATTCTGAAGTTTCCGTCTAGATGGAAACAGACTAATGAACGAAACGGCGCATATCTGAACAAAAGGGCGACAGGGGATATTTGACAAACTAATATCAATTTGAGCCCTCTTACTAGATTTTCCGAAGGTGTGTACACCGAGGTATTTTAACTACAGTTCACCAAATACGCAAATACATTTGTTTTTTCACCTCGCATTCTTCTATTCGCTTTGGCAAGATGTATCCACTTGTGAGCTTATCGAACAGTATTTAGTCAGTACATCTACCTTTCCGGCGAATGTGTTCTGTTAATAGTACTTTGTTTCATAGATGCAGCGCTAGAGCGTAAGGCCACAGAATAATACTGCTTCATTCCTAATCTAATGAAATTTGTGTAAGAATGCCCTCTATAACAAGCTCAACAACTTTTTTTTTTTTTCTGAAAGTAGCTACACTTCAATGCTGTAAATCTTCTACTAGCTTCATGGCAGCCTCCTCCGCTTGAAATACACTGCAGTCTTCATATCGCCTGATTCTACATTCTGGGTTATATAAAATAAAGAGTTTTAAAGTTATACTATACAGCTTTACTTTTTCTTATCCCGGGAAACTAATTAGAAAATACTTAAAATGCCCTCCGAGACCAAAAACTAATGATTGAAGCGTTTTGAGCTTACTCCAATATTTAGACGCGCCGCACTGTTGACAAGTGAGTAGTTTCCTGCTTGAGCACGTTTCATTATGCTCAGTAGGATTTTGCAGCCGTCTAAATTCTTTTCCTGGATGAAAATGCATTTCGGAGCCGTACCAAACATCTACTGCTACTTTATTGGCAACATATTGTGAAAGTATTTAAAATGCATCGGACGCTTCTACTCCAATCGGGAAATAAATGTGTGAAATATATGGGAACTACTATTATGCCTAGGATAACAAAGTGTGACTGTTTTCTAATAGCCGTCGGTGTTTGACAGATACTACAAACTTTTCTACACAAAAATTGGTGCCAAGTCCATATCATAAATTGAATGCATAAGCACCTACCAAACAAGCTCTCGGAGCTTTTGCCCAGTATTCAACGAATGTGTGTGACTTTGGGATGTCTTGATGGAAAAAAATTCTTCTCCTATTAGCCACTTGTGGGCGATCACTTCTTTCAGATGGTTCAATTGTCGACAGTACAGTTTCGAATTAAGAGTTTAGCCGTTGAGAAGCAAATCATCAGCCCAGCCCATCAAACACATAGCAAAACCTTCCTGACAGTCAGACAATACTAAGCCGAACAATAACTACTTTTTAATGCAAAATAAGACAATCTATTGAAAAATAAGGATTTCCTAGAACATGTACCTTTTTATATTAAAAATTCCCAGCGAATATAGCGGTTCCCAATCAAGTCCATACCCCTCTGAATTTCGTATTCTATAAATTGTTGTATAAATTGTTTTGTATAAATTATTTGAATACATTTCTTTTGGTTCACAGTTTTTTTTTTTTTTTGTTGCATAAAAATATTTGAAATATTAAAATTTTATATTCAGAATTAATTTGCCGTAAGTGTATATACATAATTTTCGCGCATTCCATAATTCATGAATTTATTTGCGAAAGTATGAAATCATAAAAAAAAAAATAATAACAGAAAATTCATTGTCTGTTTATGCAAATTAATGTGCATTCCCAATGATGCAACACTAAGCTATGGTGTGGCAAAGAAATGCAACGAGCGTCAAGGCACACACACCGCACCGTATGCAAATAAACCCCCACAAATAAGTAAATAAATGTTAATATGCGACCATAAGTATTTATAGTTGATAATTTAATTTGCAAGCAGTGTTGAGTGTTTGTTGTTGTTGTTATGCGAACACTTGTTGCAATCAAATGCACTTGAACGACACACGCACACACCGACCCGCCAGCTCAATGGTTGGCATTGAGTGACACTCAACAGCTGGAGTGCAATAGTTGTTGTTGGCGGCGAAAGCTGCGAAACTGAGGATGGGCAAAGTGAAAGGTTACGAATAACTGCAATGCATTATGGTTGTTGCTGTTGTTATATATGTGGGTATTTGACGCGGTGAATGGCAGTGAGTGGCTCTGTGACTATTCTTTCTTTTTTTTAGGTTTTGCATACTTCTCAGAGCTGAGTGTGCTGATGTGGTGGCACTTGCAGACAGCATCGAAAGCAGCGTGGTGTAGTTGTTTTTACTGTCGCTGATGACTGATGATTCTTGATTATAAGTTAAATTATAGTTTTCTTGCTGTACTATTTGCTTTGGAATTGTGTTGACGTTGGCATTTGAAGTTGCTCGAGTGTGGCAACTTCACACTGGACGTTTGGTGAATGGATACGCTGACTGCCGCTGGTGGTGTTGCTTGCATCTGTCGTTTCAAGTGTTTCTCTAGTTTCAACTTGAATTCTATTAGGGATTTCCTTTTGAGTGATGTGAGAAAAGTTTCACATTCTTTAATTGCTTTCACAGTTGTGTGAACACTTATTAGCAGTGTGGGCGGAAGACACTCAAGCGTCGAAAGCAGTAACGTAATACAGATTGTGCTACTACTGATTGATGTATTAATTTCAGATTCCTCGTTACACCTACCTTTTACTGGTTAAATGTGTTAATTTTCAATGCAGCTAAAAGTCGCGATGCTGGCAATGCACATCTAGCCTTCACTTCACTAACTTTATCAGCAAGAACTCGTAAAAAAAGAGGTTGATTTAAGACGTATTAAATATCGTATCAAAGATTACCAATATGAGTAATAAAATAGTAAGATAATAATTAAGTAATAGGAACCTGTACTAAACCAATTGGGTTCACAACGAAATATTGACTACGGCTTATAATCTTATGTAGAAAAAAAAAATTAAAAATTTAGTATTTTGTCTTGGAACACGACCCTCTTTCCCTCTTTTCTTTAGAGGTAACTGTTTATAAATATTTAAAATCTTGCTATTAAGCCCAAATTCATAGAGATATTTGAATTTAGTGAGATGCATAGCTTTATGTATCACGCTCAAATATTTAAGCTTGTCTGACAGTATTCTATTTCTATTTTTCGCAAACCACGTAAAGAAGGTTGGTTGTTGTAGCTTAAGTGGTTTAGGAGATATGTACATTAAGTTTTTTTGGGGGGCGGAACCACGCCCTCTTGTTTAAAATTTGTTTCCCACAGGTGCCTCTTTCTACGATCATCTATATCAAATTGCAGCTTTATATCTTAATTTAGTGCTTAGTTACGGCATTTTTATTTTTTCAGTTAATGGAGATTTGTTTTTTTTTTTTTTTTTTTTTTTTTTTTTTTTTTTTTTTTTTTTTTTTTTTTTTTTTTTTTTTTTTTTTTTTTTTTTTTTTTTTGTAATGACATATCAAGTTTCATCGAGATATTTACATTTTTACTCAAGTTACAGCTTGCAGGGGAGGACGAACGGACAGACAGTCCACCGGATTTCAACTTTTCTCGTCATTCTGATCTTTTATATATTATATAACCCTGCATCTATCTCGCTTAGTTTTAGTTGATACGTACAACCTTTAGGTGAACAAAACTAYAATACTCTGTAGCAACTGGTTGCAAGTATAACAATAGTCCTAATAAGATATAATATGATATATCCCGGTTTTGTCATAAAGAGGGAGGGTTCTTCAGTTCAAGTTTTCAGTAAGCATCTCATGAGACAGTGCGCTAAAATTAGAGAATGGTACTTTCTTTTCGTACTTGTGGATCAGACAGGGTGTTGGATTATAACAACATGAACCGTCAGATATGAAATGTTTACAGTAACTCAAATGATCCTCAAAAACAAGAAAGAGTGCTAACATCGGCTACATCGGCTACATCGAAGCTATATTAACCTTCACCGGTGCAGTTATTATAGCTGTTTTTTTGATCGATCACTTCATGTGGCACCATTCAATGTAGCACTGAAAAAATCTATGCCAAATTTCGTGAAAATATTTTGTCAAACGTAAAATTTTTCCAAGCAAGTACTTGATTTTTATCAACAGTTTATAAAGCAGTGACTGTGCCCAAAAAATAAGGTGACATTTGAATTTAAACTGCGCGCGTCGAAGAATTTTTTTTTTTTAGGTTTGTAGTACTGTCAGTCACATTTAAGTCAAATTTCATGTCAAAATATTCATTAGTGTTTGAGATACGTGWCGTTTTGTGAGCTGCTAAAAGTGAGTTTTTCGTTTTTTGCGATGTCGAAATTTCTTGAGCAAAGAATTTGAATGATCATTTCGCCGAAAGCTCAACCCACATCGGTTCGCAACCACCTCATTCACCTGATCTGGCGCCGTGCCACTTCTGGCTGTTCACAAAGCTCAAAAGACCGCTCCGGGGACACCGTTTTTATTCCATAGAGGATATTCAAGCTGCAGCGAAGACGGAACTGAACATCATCCCGGAAGGTGACTACAGCCAGTGTTTCGAAGATTGGAAAATCCATTGGCATAATGTACTACATCTAGTGGGGATTACTTTGAAAGAGGTGAAATAGATTTGGAAGAATAAATAAAGAATTTTCAAAATAAATACAATGTCACCTTATTTTTTGGGCATAGGTATACTAATTCCAGATTTTTTCAACTTTTTAGTCTTTTAAACTCAGCAGTTTTTAAAACTTAAGCATGGTCCACATTTTAGCTTCTATGTTATAGAATAAGTCATATTTATTATATATATTATATTTAATCAATAACTACATATTTGTCATTAAATTTACCTTTTTTCTCATTGCAGCGCAAAAACTATTAGCTACGCGTGAAAATCAGCGCCATTCAATACAAAAACTCTGGTAAGTCAATTAAAATTGCATAAATAGTAAATCCACAAATAAATTGCCCATTTTCGCATAAATATTTTAAGCACACGCAAATCAGGCTTAATGCACATTCTAATCCAAACAGCGAGCCGCGGTGCACCACAGCGTATGCGCAACATTTACAAACCCACAAACGCACGCGTACACATACGCACATATATACATATACTTGTCAATAATCTGAAACAAAGAAATCACCAAAAATTAACTATTCAATTGCAACATTGACAACAATCACTAATTTTCACAAAAGATTAGCAGCGCGTCGGCGATATTTAGCGGCAATCAAAATAATGAAAATCCATGCAATATTCAGCATTTATTTACTTATCGCACTCCATAGCGCGTTTGGTTGCTGACGGGCTGCCACTGATTGCAGCAAACATGCGGCACGAGTTTGCTAATTAGTTTACTCAAATTGCAGTTGAACATGAAAAATGCATTAAAAATGTTTGTTGCATGCAAAATTTCCGATGAATAGCCAATATTGGTAAATACTGTGTGCGCGGTAATGAAATTTGTAGCAATAAAAATTTGAAAAAACTAAACAAAAAATGTTGGCATTTCTGATCATTTAAATATGCAACCGGTTGGCTGTTGCGGCTGCGGCAATTCAAATAGTTTCCAACGCTTGCAACTAACCCACTGTAGTTGGTGCGCTTAACCACACAATTTACAAATTGTCGTTGCAATAAACAGTTGGCCAATAAATAGCGGTGGTATTATATAATATGTTGTCAACAGCGGCTTAGCGGTTTATTAAGTTTTCGACTCACGTATAAGCTCACGTAAATGACGTGGGATAACTAGAAATATAAAATTACTTACAGCAACGGGCACATTAATAAACCTTTCCATTTTTAAGCGTATAGTGGCTTACAGATAAGTTATTAATAAACAATTGGTAACAAAATATAAACTGATAATATATTTATACTCTGAACTTAGTGTATTAAGTTTGCCTTGAGTGAAAAGTCGGAGATAATCTGTATATACTCGAACTTCCCCCTCAGTCACCGATCTGAAATTTTGCTTATGTCCGTTTTTCCACATGAAGCTACGCATTTCTCGAATGGTAGCTCCGTTATGGCTTATTTGCATCTTAAAGACCTGTTTTAACCAACCATGCCGCTCAAACGAAATCAGTCTTGCCATCATAGTACATCATTCTAGAAAAAGTAGCACTCGTAAGAGGGCACGAATTTAATCTTCATTTAAACACACACTAACCTTTTCCTCTTAGTGTTTTTAATCAGGTACAAATATATTTTCGAAACAAAATTTATCAAAAATGCTAGCAGGTTTTGATGACAAATTGATTTCTCGAAAAATTTTTTACTTTCTATTATAGCTGTATGCCTTTTGAGTTTATACATATAAGGAAGAGAAATGATAGCACATTATCACTGGTATCTACCGTACTGTGACAAGACCTCCCGAGAGTAGCGGCAGGTGGGTCGTTACACATCTTTAGGCATATTTGAAAAACAGCAAACTTTGTATCGTTTCGTATATGGATTTTCGTAATTAATCAATCAATAATGAATTGTTGTCTGGTTTTCGTTTTTATATTTTATATTTAATATTGATGTATAATTATTTTGCGTTTAGTTTAAAGCCTGTACAAAATATGCTATCAAAAGATTAAGAAATTTACCAAAGGTTTACAAGGTACTGTGAGTAGCAGCCTAAGTATATTTTCCACAGTATTAAGGTTGTTTATCAGCTAACCTAACCTAGCCAATACTGCTTATTGAAGACACTGTGGAACATACATTTTTGGGATTATTGTCTGGGGGTAAGAAATTCCAAGTCAGGGTGATGGTACTAGGTCAGTATAGTAAAACCCTCAAAGGGTTTGGCGTTCGTACGTGTCAGGTTTTGTTATGACCTTTTAAATTTTTTCCTTATCTTGATGTTTTTTCGCTTAGTTGTAACATTTTGGCAAAAAACAAAACAAAAAAAAAAAAAAAAAAAAAAAAAAAAAAAAAAAAAAAAAAAAAAAAAAAAAAAAAACAAAAAAAAAAAAAATTCCGAGAATTCAATTATACTGACCTAGTACCATCACCCTTACTTGGAATTACTCACCCCCAGATTATCTCTTGTACTGTGAGATTAAAGTTCTCTGAAGGCGAAGGCGCTACTCATTCAAAGAACATTAAACAATTTTGTTGAAAAAATGTGAGAAACAAACATCGTGCAATAATTTACGAAAAAATTTCTAAATTTTCATAGCTTTACTGTTCTCAATTGAACCCTGATCTAAGTTTCGTATGTGGAAATTTAAAAAATATATTGCTGAACCACTGACCAGCTGAATCACTGTATTTGCATCAGGTACTGACCGTAGTGCTTTTTTATTTGCTAAAGAATAAACCTTGATGCCTCCTCGTCATACTGTTTTAGATGTTATTTCTTTTTCACACATAACATATTTGACCCGCATCTCAGCTTCTAACCGCCTTTTTTGTAAAAACAGTTGAAGTATATATATTATAGAAACCAGGATTTATCATAATTTCCTATATCTTCCACTGAAGCATTGAGAGTAAAGCACTAAGATATCTACATATATTACAAGACGAACGTTCTAGCTTAAGAATTTTTGGACTCCTCTTTCTCTCCCATCACTTTAGGAATGCTGGTCTGAGGTTTAATGAGATAAAAATGCTCTTCAGTAAGTCTCTCGGAGTATAGAGATAATCCTCGAGTTTGAAGCGAAATTATAGTACCATAAACTAATTAAAAATTATAAACACTCAGTGAGGGTCAATGCACTTTATTCATACACCAACCAAAGCTGTTTCCCCATATGTCATAGTTCGCAAGCAAATAGCGTAAAAAATTCTGTGAGCGTGAAAGCATGAAATTGCTATTTTACGGCCATAGGTACAGCAGCGTGCTAAAATCCTATCGTGCTCCACTATAATACGACCTTGTCTACACCAACGCCGCCGCAGACGAGACGCATTCACCTCGCGCAGCAGCAGATTTGCCGTAAACGTTGCCACTTTTTGTTTGTTTAGTTGGTTGTCAGATTCTTCGCACTCAACCAAATGTGTTTTAATTTCATTCGCACATTCGCAGTTGGCTACTTTGGTTGCTTAACATTTTAAATAGGTGTGTTTTTTGTCAATTGGTTTTGTTAGCCGCTGTGAAGGCTACTGCATGACCACTACTTATGCGACTGATGCGTTCTAAGCCCTTTCGCCAAACACCTTTAATTGGTTTAATGCATCAGACGATGACATGCATCACATAATGAGCTGGTCGACAAGAGAAATACTTTGTCTGATGTCATATACATACATAGCTATTATACTGCTAGTTGAATTCATGGAGAAACCAGTCTTCAGTAGACTTTAGTAGTAGTAGAGATTAATAGTAGTAAACTGTGGTATTTTCGCGGGTTTAATTCGGTATTAGTAACTACTCAGTGGTGTTAACACATAGAGGAAATTTGATTTGACTGTAAGTTAAGAACCTATATTGTAATGCTAGAACGAACTTCGAGAAGTTCTGAACTGCTTTGATAGTGAAGAATTCATTAATTTCGTAAAACATGACATTGCTTTCCAACCTTTTAGCTTAGAAAAAAAAAAAAACATTTGCATTGAAGAGTTCACCTTTTGATTGGACCATCTTAAACGAACAAAAGTTTATTTACTGAGCTGTTGGCCTTGAAATGCTACTAAAAGTAAAAGTAAATAAAAGATTTCCGAATCCCATCAAATTTACCCAAATAGTTTAATCAATGACTACTATGTTCTACGGATTTGAATATCTGAATTTCAATTTACTACTTCATTTGTTTGATCGGAGAAAACCCGCTAGTTATAAGTAGTCTTGGAACACTACCAATTTAGTACGTTTCATATAATATTTCGGTTTAATGTGGTGTCTCGATGTACCAAAAATGGGAATTGAGTCATATGGTAGGAGTCATCTAGCGGGCTCTAAAGGAGCTGAAAATTTAAAACTTAACTTTTGAAAATATCCAGCCTGCAGTCAGTTAGGTCGGAGCATCATATCATAATTGGAATTGAAGGTTAATGGTAAAAGTAACTCATGTTATTTTTATAATCAAATTTAGTTGAAAAATAATTTTTGTAGCTTCAGGCCAAGCGTTCTTGCTCTTATGAGAAGTGTGATCGTTTAATTTCGCATACATAATCCTCAGACCTAATCGAAGCGAAAATGAAATCATGTCGAGGTCTAATTTAGGCAACATTCATCCACGCTAGAACTAGAGTGTTTTTATCCATTCGGACAAAATGACCTAGCCAGTAGCTGCTTCACATAATTCGCTAAACTATGTTAATGTCGTCGTATAATTCATGGAGTTTTTAACTTTAGTTAGCGTTCGTAGAACACCAGTTTGTACTGTATCTTTGAAGATGCCATTAACCAGACAGACGCTTGCTGAATATTTCTTTAGGTAAACGGAATGAACACAGATTTCTATATAGTCAAAGATTATGAACTCGGCACAATAAACAACAACACCAACGAGATATGTTTCTGTCTTCAATTCAATTCCATTTTCAGACACTTATTGAAATTTCGAAATAAAAATAGTTTACGGAAATGATTATCAGCTGTCGCCACAAACGCTTTTATGGCACTTTCCAAACTGGTAGTTTCAGCATTATTTCGTAATTTTAGCGTATTTTGGAAGGCACGTATACCATACGCACAACCACTTCATAATACCAATAACAATAATAACAACACACGCAATAATAATGAAGTGGCAAGTGCAGCAGCAAGTGGTGCTAGACAAACAGGCTTTTGCATATTCATACGGTAAATGCTTAAACGATACGACTCGTTGGCCAAAACACTTACGAGCGCACAAAGCCATGCGAATAGCGGCAGACACGCGCAGCCTGCAAATGGACAGAGCGGCGCGAACGGAGCGTGTGCTCACGTGCCTACTCACTTATGCAGCCATTATATTCCCGCGCACATTT